TAGCCTTGATACTTACTGGGTACCGCTATGGTATACTCATGCTACACTTTCTGCATATTTTTTGTGCAGATCCATGTGCTTCGGAGTTGTTTGATCCCTAGTTAGCCGTTCGAGCTTTGCCGTGGAGACTCAAGGTATACCTGTCATCGCGTTCGCAGGCCATAGAGTCACCTTCTGATATTGTACTTGTACTGTCTATTTCTTTTCCGGAACAATTGTACTTAGAAGATTTTTCTAGTAAACTCAGTAGAGCTTATGACTTGTACAACCGGTTTTGGGGTATTGTAATGCACTAAGAATTATTGGTTTAATATAGAAATTTTGGTTTCATGCTTAATAGTTGTTTCTGGTTAAATTTCGTCTCTAATTCAGCAAGTGTTAGACTTACCTAGTTTTAGTGATTATGTGCCATCATGACATCTTACGAGGAAAAATTGGGATCGTGACAATATACCACGGCCAGAGGGAAATTAATAGACGCGTGTAAATGACCTATAGCAATGTCATATGGGCAAGAAAATGTTTCGGGTAAAATTAGGTGAATTTTAATACGCTAAAACAAGTACTCCTTCGTCTATGTTTTTGTCTTAGTAAACCATTTAGATATATTTATAAATAAAAAGAACCAGGATAATATTTAACCAAATGTGAAAAGATGACCACTAATTAAGAGCTGAGAAGTTGCTTTCTTAATACTCGTTTTACCAATTTTGCCGTATTATCTGGCTAGGGTGTACTTCTGCCTGGTTACCCTTATAACCTACAGACAAAGTAGGAATAAAACCTTATGAATGTGATGAAAAAACATGTATATAGTATTCTTAGCGATGGCAAAATAGATTTAAAAAACAGTTATTTATTCATATTATCCATTAAAAAATGGAATTGAATAATGAACTTTTTAAAAATATGTTAAATATGGATAAAGTCCATATTTTTCACTTAAAAAACGAATAACTAATATGTTTAACTTTTACATTTGCAAAGACTCAAATTAGGTCCATCAAGTTTGGGATACTAGTAATTTTCCTAAACTAAAATGATCTTATCAGCTAAGAACCATTGATAATATGAATATTCATATTATCCACCAATTAACTCATTTTCTATCCTTATTAAATATGAATCGAATCGAATATTTTATTCGTTTTTGTATTATTCATTTTTGACCTGCCCATTTGACACACAGGGGTGTTCTATATATTTATAGTACGGAGGCACTTCTTCCTTTTATAATGTCAAGTCACTCTACGCTCAGACTCTCTCATATCTGCCACACTTGGTATTAGAATTCGCTCTTCGCATAAGATTTATTAAATGAGGGAGGAAGCACTCCCTATTAGAATTTTTTACATTACTTCTTACAATTCAAACACGAAATGAGGAGTGGGTTGTTAAATCATGCATATTGGAACACGAAAATAAGATTCATGCACAAAACAAACGTTCGATATGACTATATATTTGCTGATTTACCGACAAAGATAATGTTATAATTCTGTACTGCTCTAATAAACAATTAAACTTTCTGAAAAAATAAAACAGAAAGTTAGTAATATTTGTTTAACGAAATAAATTCTGGAAAAAATAGTGTAGGAATAAATCGAGCCCACTGAATACACAGTATGTTCTTAAGGAAATTATTTCCCTCAAGTACCCGAGGTGCTGGAATATATTCTCCCAGGATAGAACGATTTAACTCACCGGAGTGTTGGTACCAAAACGCCGGTGAACAGCGAGCCACTCGAAGGCTGTAAAATACACTGGATTTTTTGTGCAGAAGAAGAAGAAGAAGCTCAGAAAATTTCGTAAGGAAAGATTCTAGGATTCAAACTCTATTTATAGAGTTGCTGGCATTGTTTCTGAAAAGGTTTACAACCTTTCAGAAACAGCCATGGCTGTTGGAACAGGGTTATTTGAAATATTGCGGAAAAATATATTTAAAATAATCCGGGAAAGAAAATAGGTTCGTTAATTATTTAATTAATCCAAGCCCAAGCCCAAACCGAGCGAGCGATGGTGACGACGGCGCGAGACTTGCCTTTTTCTTAACTCTTTAAGAGCTTGAAAAAGAACAATTATATATATACCCATCAAAAGTCTTTTCTTCCTCCAATATGGGACAATGTCCCTTTGTCAAGGGAAACTCAAATATTTCATTTTTTCTCCATTTTTCATTCACCCTCTTTAAGCTACACAAGCTTAAAATCCCAACAAATAAGAGTAGTTTTCATTTCGAAAGCGCTAATTAAAGACGAATTTAAATGTTTTACATCCGTGACCCGTCTGAAAAGTTTCTCCAGAAACAAAAGAATAGGAGTATAAAATATTAAACTGGGCAAGCGAGGTTTAAGATTTAAAGACAGTGGATGAATCTTTTTATATATATAATATATAAGAATTATGCTATTGTACATTTAAGTCATAGAAATTACAGAAATATAAGGCAAGTTTGCCTACAATAAACTTAGTCATGACCTACCTCTTTGCTAAACTCCGTGCATAGCATGAGCTAATTAGTGCATTGAATTGCCATTTTTGTTTTTGACATATATAATATTGGAGTTCCAGCCAGTTATATATTGGATTGGAGTCATACGGTGTGCTCACACGCATGGCTATTTGTCCCAACATTGCTTTAACCTTTTTAGGATCCTTTCTCTTTTTATTTATTTTATTTTAACTATATAGTGCTCTAAAATTCAAAAACATAATCAAATCTAGCAGCAACCCACTAGCTAGCATAAATCCAATATATATATATATATATATATATATATATATATATATGAAGATCCCTTTGTTTGTGGGGTTTATGATGACATCAGTCCCATGCTATCGTGACGTTTATTCCCCCTAAGAAATAAGTTCATCTGGTGCTTTTAGCATAAAGCTATTGACATGACTCTTACAATAGCGCTTGGGCTCTATACCAGGGGCCGTTTTGTTTGATATGTATAAAGCAAAATAATCCTGGTATAATTTTCAGCATAAATAATAATAGAAGAATTATAGCTACCCATCTGTGCATACAAATTAAAAAATATAAACAATAAATTCAACTGATCATTTGTATTACGATCTTCATTACATATCAATAGAATAAGTTTTAGCATAAACAAGGGTTATACGATCATCGAAATCAGAGAGTTTAATTTCAAAGGATAACAGAACAAATGTCATGAATGCGTGTAACTGAAAATTATATGTATATTGTCAATAATGATTGTGGTGGAGCGGTTAGTATTCATTTATTCTTAATCAAAGATCTCGGATTTGAACTCTAGGTATGGAACCGCTTATGTTAGAGAACGTTTTATCTCCAATATAAAAATTTTTCGCGAAAATATATTCAAATTTAATCGGATCCCAATACAAGTACCGCACACTAAATGAAAAAACTATATGTACATTATATGTAAAGACAAACTCAATGTAGGGATTAACAGTGGCCCTCCCCCACTCCCACTAGGGACTGGGATTTTGTAGTGAAGAAGGAGTGTGTTCTAAGACAAAATGATTACAATAGATCTTGGAGGAAGTATAAAGGTTATTTGGCGTGGAAAATAGCTAGCCAATGGAGAAAGAAAGTAATAATATGGTAGAACGTGATCGTGGCGAAATTAACCAAAGCCAAAAGCCAACAACAGAAAAATTATACTCCCACTTTATCAATTAGTGTGGTGGATCAATAGACACGAGAAGAAAAAGAAGAGCGCACTTTCTGTCAATCTAAATCGATTATTCTGCTTTTTATTATTAATCGTCTTTGGTCGGTCGACAATTTGTTATGTTGTGCATTAAGTTTTGATTTTTTAATAGAAGATTAGCAAAAAATAACGCCAAAAAATCTGCAAATAAATATATTGTAGAGTTACTTTTTTTCCAAATATAAATGGATATAGAAAATCATTTCCTTGTTTTTGTGCTTCCTCCTCCCTTTCTCTCTTTTTGCCCCAGCAACACTCACTAAATGTAATTATATGTTTGATTTTAAATATTACGTAGTAGTTTCTGACAAATTATTAGTAAATAATTAGAGCAACAAAAATAAATTGCTATTTCATGTATTTCTTGCTATTTTCGATAATAAGATGTATTTGGCCAATTTATGTGAACTTGTTTGACTCGACACGAAATTTAAGAAAAAATTAAGACTTTTGAAATTTGTGATCCTAAACAATTCAAAAAGGGGCCCAGAGTATTTGTGTGGTTATAAAAACTTCTCATTAAGGGTAGAATTGTAAATTTAAGCAAAATTATTTTCAAATTTAAAAATGGATCATTCTTTTTTAAACGGATCAAAAAAAAATAGATTCACCTAAACTGAATTGTAGACAATAACTACAAGTACTATTTTTTTCCCCAAACCAGTACTAGTACTTGTACCCACTATTTATGATAAGGAATATAGATGAAGGTGGGGAATGGTGCGTAGGTATGAAAGAGAGCAGACTACGCTGAAGAGGGCCCATAAAAGAAAAAAGCATAGGAACAAAAAAAGATACCAACAAATTAAAGCACAAAGATATTGAAAAGTTAGGGAAAATGGCAAGTTTCTTTTTTGGTCCAGAGTTTTTTTTTTTTTTTTTTTTATAGTGAAAATTGCTGTTTTACCAAAATAAAGTTGTTTGGCCAAGTTTTTTGAAGTAAAAAAAAAGTATTTTTGAGTAGAAGCAGAAGCAGTTTTGGAGAAAAGGAAAAAATAGCTTTTCTACGAGCACTTTTTTTAAAAATCACTTTTGAGAAAATTACACTTAGAAGCATATTTTAAAAACTTGGCCAAATACTAATTGTTGTTCAAAAGTAATTTTTAAATTAATTAGCCAAACACAAACTACTTCTCACAAAAAAATACTTTTTTAAAAAGCACTTTGAAAAAAATACTTTTCAAAATAAGATTTTAGAAGTTGTCCTAATAGACGTGAGAAAGGAAAATTAGAGAACAAATCATAAAGGTAGACACAATATAGATTTGGGAACAAATCAATAGTCTCAAAATTAGATTTTCCTTTCCCAAATCTAATAGTCTCTAGTGTTGCAAAAGAGAACAAGTGGAAGAGCACACAAGGCCATCAAAACACTTAGATATCACACATCAAAGTAAAGGTCTGTTATTTGTTCTTTCCCTAAACTCTTACAATCCTCTTTTTACCACAAAGGAAGTAGAATCCAAGTTTTTGATCCGCGGCCTTCTCTTTATTATTCTTACTTTTCGACTTTGTGTAAAAAGAAGAGAGGATTGTCGAACAAGCTTAAAGTTCTTCAACTTCAAACTTGTTTTGTAGCGGTAGATGAAAACATACACTTCAACTCATAAAGGTAGACACAATATATGCAGGATCAATGATTTAACTTTTATACATATAACAGTATAAAGATTTTTTACACTTATAACAGGTAACATATTTTATTTTTCAAGTTATTAATTTCATCGTTTCTGGATATGATTGCACGTAGTTATCATTCGGAAACTTTTGTTAATTTAGCTCTTCTCATCTATATTGGCTAATAGTGTAA